GAGTTCTTGCTTGCCGAGGCGGTCTTGGACCCCTCGGCGTCCGGGAGCTCCCCCAAGCCTCTCAAGTGCAGAGGTCCGGGGTTTCTCCCTCATCATGGGGCGCTTGTCCCTGGATTGAGCCTCCTGGGAGGCGGTATCCTGCGCTATGACCCCCTCGCGGTTGCCAACCCCCGGGGGAGGGTTATTGAACAAAGGAGGGAGTGGTGGTAGGTTGATAACATTCCCTCCAGCATAGGGCTGAAGGGGTGCCTGAGAAGCGAGGGCTCCGGAATTGAGAGCCATGTTTTGAACAAAGGCCGCAAAGGCAGCCTGAAGATCGATGGCCGAGGCCGGAGGAGGAACTTGGTTCTCACTCCGATCCCTCCTTCGATTATCAAGGCCAATGCGGGCATCAGGGGTGTTCTTCTGCAGCTGGTGACGTAGGTCAGCGGTGGCTTGCTCTAATTCGAGGATGATACCACCCTCGGGTACTAAGAGCCTGTTGGAGGCCTCAGCCCCGTTTGTCTCGCCGGGGGCTACGTGGTTCTCCTCTAGGGTTTTGGACTGGGCACGAGTGGTTCTTCCCATTTTTTGGTAAGTGTTATGTATTTGGTAGAGGGGGAGGGTTTCTTACTTGATAGTTCAGACCCTCTCAACGAGAGCACCAAATGATGGATAGTCTACCCGGGGGGTATCTTATCCGAGGGGTTATTGCGGGAATAACTAGAGAGAAGTCAGAGCAAATAGGAGGAGAGAGAGTCGATTATATTAAATGAACTCAGCGTGTGGAGTTGGGATGTAGATGATGATTTACAAGGAGAAATGGGCTGCTATTTATAGCAGCAATAAATGCGATGAGAGGACACGTGTCAGTAATCCAACGGCCGAAAGGTCACATCAACCGGTTGGCACCGGCAGTGGTACGTTTACCGCATTGAATGCGGTTGGTGGATGTGACGTGGCATTAAATGCGGTGGTTGGCTGTCTCTAAAAGGAATCTCCGATGATTGAGCGTGTTTGGCCGAAGGCTCCTTGTGTAGCCGAGGGCTCCATGTAATCGAGGACCCCTGTGCGGCCGAAGGCATGATGTGATAGTGCCGAGGGCTTGATAGTGCCGAAGGCTCATGTTTTTCGCCGTTTTCTCCCAGTAGCTTCTTATGCCGAAAAGGCTATCCTGTGAGTTCTGGAGCCTTCGGCGAAGGAGGCCGAAGGCATCCCAGTGCGTATTCCGAGCTATTTCGAGGTTTGGGCCGTTACACTTGGGCCTGAGTTGTTCTCTGGGCTCAATGGACTTGTGTAGGAGAAGTAGGGGTCTATGGGCCGGGGGTTCCCGGGCCATATACTCCATCACCTTCGTTTAGCAGTTAGCACCATTGTTTTATTATATAAAAGGGCCGCTTATATTTGTGAACATGATGATGAATGAAGGTTAGATATGGTATCTAAAATTCTACGGGTTTAAAATTAACAAAAAAAGTGCTATCTAGTTTATTAAATAAAATAGAGGCTACTAACTTTAAGTGGTCTATTTTTAAAGGTTATATAGCATTTTTTTACCTTATATAAAAACTACATTATTTAAATTTAAATCCAACAATAATATTTCTATAAAAACTTCACTTTTTATTATTTAAAAAATAATCTAAAACCTAAACATTATTCAAAACAACAAATTCAAAACCTAGTACCTCGACCCTCCATCCAGACATCCAGTGAGTGTATAATATATGGGTTATGATAGATAATTTTCAATCTGTGAGCTTTTATAAAATATAATAACATCTAAATTCTTAAATCTTTATGGTTTTTTATTTAAATAGATCGATTTATGGAATACCAAATTTACCTAAGATATAAGCTTAAACAATAAGCATGATGTCAAACGTCATAAGCCTCAGCATCATAAGAAAGTAATACTTTTTGTATTGTTGTGCTTGCTAACATATTATAATAATTGTTCTGTGTTAAATAACGACAATTTTAAACTGGGATGAGATTTTGACCTTGAAAAATCGGCAAGATATAGGCAAGTAAAGTAGTAAGCTATTAAGTTTGTAATTAACGTTAACTACAAGAAATGATAATAAGCAACAAAAAGCAGTTGTTATACCGTATGACCGGTATACGGTGAGCACCGTATACCAGCATACGGTTTTTGGCAAGCAGCGTATTTGGCAAGCACCAGATCTTTATTTTTTATTTCTCTTTTTTTTAAAAATGTTAATAACTTTTTTATTTTTGATCCGATTTTTATAAAATTTATACTAACATTTTTAATTTTTCATGATCTTTCAAATGAGACCAATATTGCCTATGTAATTTTAACCTATGTAAAATATGTAATTTTACGTGTAGAAATATGTAACTGACGTCCAGTCAGGCCAAATGCAACTCGTGTGTATAAATATGTAAATCTACGTGTAAAAATATGTAACTTTACTTAAAAAAATATGTAACTCGCGTTCAGACAAGTCAAATGCAACTTGTGTGTATAAATATGTAACTCGCGTGTATAAATATGTAACTTTACGTGTAAAAATATGTAACTCTACGTGTAAATATGTGTAACTCGCATTCAGGCAAGTCAAATGCAACTCGTGTGTATATATATGTAACTCGCGTGTAAAAATATGTAACTTTACGTGTAAAAATATGTAACTTCACATATAAAAATATGTAACTCACATGTATAAATACCTAATACAATAAATTTTTTATATACACAATTTTAAGATAATTTGTGATTTACACAATTATTTTTCTGTATTAAATTTAGTTTGGTTTTCCTTATAATCCAATACACATTAATATAATAGTTCGATAATTTCTTAAAATTACATAAGCAATATTGGTCTCATTTGAAAGATCATGAAAAATAAAAAATGTTGATATAAATTTTATAAAAATCGGATCAAAAATAAAAAAGTTATTACCATTTTTTAAAAACAAAAGGATAAAAAATAAAGAAACCAGGCCTCAATACTCGGTCGTTTTGCAACCGGGCGCACCATCCTCATGGTGCGCCGGTTGCACGATATAATTTGCGACAAAAAGATATAATAAAAATCTATTAGTAACTTTTTATTCTTAAAACTACTATTATTTTTAATCCTACCGATTTTATCAAGTATTAAATGTTTTTAACATACCAAAAATTTATTTTTCGATTTAATATTATATGGACTACAATTTAAAAAACATTTCGAACATTCTGCGAGTTTTTTAAAAGATTACAATTTTCCAATTTTTATAATTTTCATTTTTGTAATGGCCTTTTATTTTGCAGCAATTAGTATAGGTTTTCCATTTTTGAGAACTTTTATATTTTTACATTCTTCAATTCTTATTACTTTCGACTATGTACTCTTTGTTTTAACTTTATTTTATATTTAGATATTTTAATTGTTTTAATATATATATATATATGTATGTATATATATATGTAAAGTTTTGTTCTTTTCAAAGTTCAAATCTTTTTCCTTCTTATTGTAAACTTTTAATGACTATGATGAATATTACTTTTTTAAGATTGGTTTAAAGTGAATATTTTATTCATGTTTAGTTTTTGCGTTCCATAAAAATTAAAAGTTTGTTTAATTTTACATTCATTTTGTCTGCAATTTTGGGTTTGTAATATCCGTGTTAATTTATTTTTCCTCTTCATTACCTCTTTAACTTTTCTATTTTTTCCCCTAAATCCGATAATAACCAGTTCTCAATTTTTATAATTTCATTTTTATTGGGATGAGGATTTCGACTTATTGTTCGATTTTCATTCATTTCAGTTTATTCGATTTGGGCGATATTGTATCAAACTAGTCTAGGGATGCAATGCAATTTGGGCGATTTTCATTCATTTCAGTTCATTCATTTCAAGTTTTTGGAATGCACAAAAACGAAAATTGAAAGGAACAAGCACGAATTAGATGATCGGGATTGGAACCGAAAGAGAAATGGTGTATTCGGGTGATAGGAATTAGGGAGTGTTTGCAATTGCTTCAACTTTAAAAAAGTGGTTTTTTAAAGTGATTTGGGGAAAAATGATTAATAGTAAAAGTTGGTAATGTTTGAGAAAAAAGTGATTCTGAAAAAGTAAAAGTTTTAAAGCACCCTTCCACCTGCTTTTAGCTTTTAACTTTTAAGTGATTAATTTAAGCAGAAGCTATCATTTGAAAACACTCTTTTTTAACTTTTTTTAAGTCAAAAGCTGAAAAGTGCTTTTTTAATCAACTGCAAACACTCTAGGAAATACAGAGTAAAATGGAAGACATGTTTGACATTTTAAAAAGGTAAAAATATCAAAAGATAAATGTATCGTGTTCCTGTTATATGCAAATGCATGTGGTGATTGACATTTAATTAAGTACATGCTCCGTATATCACTACAGTTATTTTAAAATAGAGAGGACAACCATCCCTTTCAAATTCTATTATTGTTTAGGAAGGAATGAGATTCCTATCTAATATTAACATTATATTATATAATTTATATTTTGGTAGATAGGAAAGCAAGTTCCTTTCAAATGAGTGAAATTCCTACCTAAATAGTCCGTGAGTCAATGACATCGAATTCCTATCAAAATTCCTTTGTAAATTACACAGGAATAAAATTTCCTAGCCAGTTCCTCTCTAATGGGAGCTTTTCTAGTAGTGCAAAAGCTTAATGAGACCCAAGTCTTCGCTCGATCAATTAGAATTGTCTCCCTAACATTGTTAATACAAACATACACTGATAGTCAATTAGTCATTATATACGAAACATATATGTTATGATTGCTAATGAAGCCGTTTTTAGCCAAGCCATGCAATTATATACCGAGTATGAGATTTAATTAAGGGAGTGTTTGGAATTGGTTCAGAACAAAGTATTTTAAATTGTACTTCGTAGTAATTATTACTTAAAAACATTTCTGGCATCCAAATTACATAACATCAGTTACAAACTGAATATACTAGAGTACTAATTCGAATTAGGATGGGATGAAAAAGTACTGAGTACTATACGTAGTAGTAGAATGATACGAGTAATAAAATTACGATGGGCAAAATAAGAAAAGTGAAAGCAATTATACTAAAAACAAAATTAAGGAAAATTTACTTCGCCCTAATTATCAGCCCACCAGAGCTCTAGTGTACATCCACTAATTAACAACGTAACAAAGACAACAAGATTAAAAACAAAAAAGAGAATTACAGAAACTGAGACAGGGAAATGCTCTACTTGCATGGCACTGTGTTAGCGCTGGCTAACCCTCGGCCAGAAGTGGATATATATAAATATATGTGGAGTAAGCATATAGCTACTATGAGCATTTGGAAGTGGTCAACAACTCATTGACCGATGTCGAGACTTTTTGCTCCATTTATTAAGTAATGTGTTCTTCTGTGCTGCCCTTCTTTGATCTCATTGGCTGCTACAGAAGTCTAAGAATCCCATGAACTCGTGATTCTGTATCATACTCATGCTTTTCTCCACACCGATGACCCCTACAAAGATCAGACCATTAAAAAATTAAAGTTTGCAATTAAAAAGACACTTCACGGTAGAGAATGCAAATGGACAAATTCAAAATTTTCATGTGTACGTTGTGTTAAACATTCATCAATGCGAAGATCAAATCATTACTATCCTACCTCCGTCCCACTAAGATTGGGACGAAAGAAGGTGACACGATTATTAAGTAAAGTGAGTTTGTGTGGTCGATATTAAATTGATAAAGTAAGAATAAAGTAAGAATGGTTTAGACCCACACAATCTTTACCAAATTTGGTATTAGACAATCTTAATGGGACTTCTCAAAAAGGTAAAACGGGACAATCTTAGCAGGACGGAGAGAGTACTACTTATATATGACTGACTATCTAGACTACATGGATACATAGTCCTACAATCTCGAGTGATTGTTAAGTTGAAAGTACTTAATGTGGTTTGAGCATCTCCATTGCATGCAAGTCTAGTCCAAATAAAGTGTGCCATATCATCAATTTGAACATTGTTCATTTAATTTCCTCTCCAATGCATGTAGTCCTCCATTCAATTTTGATGATTTGGCAAAAAAAATTAGACACCGTCAAGTTAAATGTTCGGGTTAGAAAGCCTTGCTCACTTGATGACTGGACAAATAAAAAGGAAAACCGCAAGAAATATCACTTTGCACGTCCGAAAAGTTAGGAAAAATTGAGACACGTATGGCAATTTTCCATGAGAATGACTTTGCAAATGTTTTTTTTTATTTTTCTTTTCCTTGAATATAATTTACTTAACCTACGTGATTTCAAGTCTTACACTTTTGCATTGGAACATTCTTTCGTATTTTAATGTATAGTCAGCCTACATGGTATTATGTGGATTAGAAAGCCTCCTATTTATTTGACAAGTGGATTATTTTATGGGCTCTTCTACGGTACCTTCTAAAATAAATGGTGTACCGGTACCTTAACATTTTTAGCCAATCAAATTCTAATATGATGCCACGTTAACATCCATTCATATTAGCATACTAAGTTTCTTATTTGCATTTTAGTCCTTAATAAACAAGCAGAATACTCCAATGTTTGCTAACTACCGGAGACTCCGTTACTCCCGTCACTCCCGTAACTTACATAAGAAGGGAAGAAACCTGCAACCTCTTCTCCTTCCTAAAGCTATGTGAAACAGTCAAATCCACAGATGGACAAAATGTAACCAGATACAAAATCTTAAGGGCTTCAAATTCTGAAACTCATTGACACTGAGCTTCCTCCCCTAAGGACGAGTTCGGGTATCATTAAGAAATGGGCATCCTTCAATTTCTAAAGATGTTTGCCAACCTTTCTGTCGGCCGCCGCCCACCGCCTTGTTCACAAACTGAACGCCCATATGTTGGATTCTTAGAAAGGAAATGAGGTTGGGTGGTTTCTTTTGAAAGTTAACAGAAAGTGATCTGACGGAGTCTAAAGCAGTTAACAAATGAATATTTCACTTATTTATTTTAGGCTATAACGTGGCCCTCAGATCGAGTAGAATCTGATTGGCTGTAAATGTGAAGGTACCGATACCTTTTATATTTAAAGAGGTACCGTAGAAATTTCCTTATTTTATTTAGACTAGACTTGGTATCATTGATGATGCTCTAAAAAGTATGAGTTTTCAATTACTGCTCATAAATATTTGGTATTATCGCAATTATTGATAAATAATGTTCCCCATTTTTTTGCGGCAAAGTCTTCTATTTGCATTCTTAAATGACATTTCAATAATTAAATATTAAAAATAATGTGAAGATTAAAGTTTTTCATATGTAAATTGTCTGAAATTTTCCTCAAATGTGAAAATTAAATCATAAATAGTCACTAATAGTTAGTAATGACTATCTATAAGCTACATTGATACAGAGGAGGTGTTTGGATTTGCTTCTTAAAACAACTTCTGCCCCTTGAAGGAGTGGGATACTTGAGTGTTTGGATGGAAATACATAAGTACTTTTGACCGGCTTCCCAAACATTGATTCTAATTTTACTCCTACTTTTAAAAAAAGAAGCAGAAGCAGAATCAGTTTCAAACACCTCCATAATCCCTGCATTTTTCGAGTGACTGTTAAGTTGAAAGTACTCAATGTGGTGTTAATTTGGTATTAGTTATATCAAGTATCGGCGATTAGTGTTTCTCATTTTTTGGGCAGCAAGTCTTCTATCCACATTCTTAAATGACAGTTTAATAACCAATCACCCAATTAGTATACACCCACACAAATTATTTATGAAATTATTTTATTTACCTATTGTCTAAAAACGTGTCATTTTAATGGGAACCTTATTTTGGGACGAAGGTAGTATATCTTAGGTATCATTTAGGTTTTGGCCCATTGATTATAATTTTATCAAACCTAACTTCATTCAACATGCCTACGAGACACGAAAATTCTTGGGAAAATGTACGTTTTCGTTTCGAAAAATCTATGTAGACTCGGGAAATTATTCAAATAAGAGAATATTATCCAAAATAGGACTTAAAAGTTTGAAAATTCCAAAATATGATTGTCATGTTTTTATTCCCACAATAGGACTAATTACTGTCATGTTTTGGCAGTACCAGACTTCAAACATGGCAGTATTTTTGAAACTTGGCAGTAATTACTCCTATTTTGGGAATAAAAACATGGCAGTCCTAGCCTATTTTGGAATTTTCAAACTCTTTTAGTCCTATTTCGGGAACTTTCCCTTCAAATAATTGTTTTTCTATTTCTCGTTTCCCATTTTTGCAATTTTTACGTTTCCGTGCAACATATAACTAGTCCGAATATTGTGGGTAAAATTGTAAAAACAAAATGCATTTATTTGTTGAAAAGGAAATTCGGAATTTACCCATTGTAAGAGCACTGGCAAAAATAACGCCGGACAGAATGAAAACGATGATCGAGGCCCTCCTTAGGATTGTCACGATTTTTCTTACCAAAAATTGACCCCAGAATCCCGCCAAAACCGACACACTTGTGAGGTATATAGCTGCACAATATTGTGGATCATCATATATCAGTCACGTACCTTCTTCAGCTATTCTATTGTGAATGTTTTTTTTGAATGAAATTGTGTATTTATGTCGATAAGAAATATATCCTGTACGATTACAAAAATAATCAATCCCGATATGAAACACTAATTAAATACTCGGTATGTTTTTTGTTTAATGTAGTGATTTTGTTAAGTCCATGTATTATCTTTATGTCATTTTCCAACCCTATATAATTAAAGTTATTTTTCCTATTTAGTCTCTTTATGTCATTTTCCAACCCTATATAACCAAAGTTATTTTTCCTATTTAGTCTACTCAAAGATATTAGCAAACTCTATTTGACTGACACAAAAAATAGTCGACATGTTTTCTTCTTTCTAATGCCATAAAAAAACTAAATCTTATATCCACACACCCATTAAAACGTGATGCATTTTTCATCTTTGCACTTAAATTTGGAAACACAATTTTTTCATTTGCCCTTTTCGTTCATCTTATTTTGTCTTTGCGTTTTAAAACCTGATGATTTTTTACTCAAACCAACATATGTTGAAAAAAAAAATGTGCGAAGAGATTAAAAAACAAAAGGAAATATTTTACACGGACAAGGACAAAGAATATCGCAACTGAAAGAAATAATTACATACGAAGTATTTATGATTAGACTAAATGTTTTGTTTATAAAATGTACACCATAACATCTTAAGGGAGTGTTTGCAACTGCTTAAAAAAACACTTCTCAGCTTTTGGTTTAAAAATAACTTATTTACTAAACACTACCAATTTTCACTTTTTCTCGACTTGCGTGTGAAAAGTGTTTTTCCCTTTTCTGTTACACAAAAAACACTTATTTTACTCAACACTACCAACTTTTACTCAAACACTATCAACTTTTACTATTAATCACTTTTTCCTTACATCTCCAAAAGTGCTTTTTTAAACAGAAGCAGTTACAAACACTCCATAAATAAACGTAATGACTACGACGATAACTTTAGTCATGATAACTTATATTCAATTTTTATTCTTAAGTTATCATGATATTGTACTATATAGTACGGAGTAACTTTTAATCTTATTTTTATTTTTGTAAATAGGTTTTATTTCAAAAATATTTTGAAAAAACTTCATAGGAATGGGCTAACAAATATTCAAGTCTACAAATTATTTATACAGTAGAAAACGTACAAAAACTACTCCATCCATTTAGTTGTCGCAAATTCTTCCCGTTTTCAAATCTTATTTTTTCCATTTTCCTGTTTAGAAATTTTACCCTAATTTTGATACCCAATTTTCTGATTATTTTTATTACATTTTTCACTTGTTTTCATTTTCCCTACCTTTTCTCATTCGCTTTGGTAGTTTCTTACTTTTCCCCTTAATTATTACTCCGTATTATCTCAAACTCTTTCCGTCAAATTGGCAATAATTGGGCAATGTGAAAGGTTAAGAGTGTACCAAAGGGGATAGGGAATCTTTTTAGGAGATAAAACTCAACAACCGATAGGGACGAAGAGAACATCATCACAAAGGTTGCTGTCGCGCTTGCAACCTGCGAGACAAAAACAAAACAAAAAAACATTGCACAATCAATCACCCATGTGAATGAATTGAATAATGTTAGAATATTATATCACCATACCTTGGCACATGGGAGGTACCACGATTAATAAGAGAAGTGAGTTTATTTAGTTGATATTGAACTGATAAATTAAAAATAAAGTAAAAGGGATTTAGAACCACATCAATTTTATCAAATTTAGTATGCAACAATCGTAGTTGGACGAATCGAAAAGAAAATATGAGACAATCTTAATGGAATGAAGAAAATAAATACATAGCTGGAACATCGGTGACTCATAAATAATGACATGAACTAAGGGGGTGTTTAGATCTGATTTTCAAAACTGATTCTGCTCCTTCAGGGAGCAGAAGCTAGAGTGTTTGTGTGAACTTCCAGAAGCACTTCTGGCCTCTAATTTACTCTCAGAATCAGTTTTTTTTTAAGCTGGGGGGTACCAGTTTCTGAAAACTGATTCTGCTTCTGCTTTAAAAAAGAAGCAGAAGCAGAATCAGTTCCAAACACCCCCTAATATGTTTATTGGAACTTGGAATGGAGATGAGGTTTAAGAATATTTTTACTTCACCGTTTTTAGTCCCAAATCAGACCATACCAGACTGGACTTAGACAATTACTATGTACTCGTATAAAATACACAGAGATCAGACATTAGAGATCAGACATTATCAATTAGACCAGATCAGCAAATTTCACTCCAAGTAAAAACATGATGTTTTGAAAGAGAGTTCAATGCTAAGAATATTTCAAAAAAAAAAACGAGCATACGAATTAGACAATGAAGCAATAATAAAACCTATACGGAGTATATGTCACCAAACATCAATTATATCAATCAATTACGTAGTACATCATACTCCGTTCCATTTTACTTAGTCAAACTTGACTTTTCAAGTCAACGGCGTCTAACTTTGACCGATTATATGTTTATATAGAGAAAGTATTGATAATATGAAAATGATACGAAAATGTTCTTTGTTGAAAATACTATCATAAAAGTATAAAATTATTATATTTTTCATAAATATATTAATTAAAAAATTGCTCAAAGTTTACCATCTTTGACTGGAAAAGTCAAAGATGGCTAATAAATTGGGACGGAGGTAGTATCATAAAGTGAAAACACATATGGATTTGCTCAAATCCTAATTTGATTTTGCCACTTCTAACTTCACGTTGGCGACATGTGCTTTAAATTGATTGTGAGCCGTGCAAAAATATTCGTCAAAATGACAGTGCCAAATCCTAATTTGAGTCAAAAGTTAGTTGCCACCAATGAAGAATGAAGAATTAAATCAGGTCATGAGTGAAATGATTTTGCAATTACAAATAATTACATACCCATATCAAACTTTTTAATAAAGAAAAATTATTACTTTCCGCGAAAAGATTACGTAGTAATTGCTAGCTACGTAGAAGCACGTATTAACATCGTGAGCCAATTGATAAGAGCATCTCCAATGCTATTCTTTTGAATGAAGGTAAATTTTGCCAAATGTCACTTAATTAAAGCAATGTTTATCCACATAAGATAAACATTAAAAGAAATAAACAAAAGATGTCCAATGCATAATGTTATACATTAAATATTATTCGCTTGTCATTTATTATCAAAACAAACCACTACATATAAATCATCGTTGCCAAAAAAAAATTACTCCGTATATAAATAAAAAAATAAATCCTGCATGGGCAGATCACCCAAAAAAATTGTTAGCTCTATTTCCAATTGAATATTTTTCTTCACAAGGTATTTAATTCCACCTTATTTGATTGTTCACTCTTCTAGCATGAAACGGTAATTAATTTGCAACATCGGTACTCTTCTTTGGATTTATCTAGTAACAATATCAATGAAAATCGGTGACTCGTGAGCATGAAATTGTTTTTTTAATAATAATAAAATAGTGCTTCCTTCATTTATAGGCTCCACGTATTATTTTTTACAATACGGAGACTGATTCTATTAAAGCAATAAAAATACGGTGACCATGAAATAATGAATAATAGCAATTGACGCCACTTTTTACGGAGACCGAGCACTATTTTCTCATGGAATTAAGCATTCACAGTGTTATACATACTTTCTGAATCCTAACAGAGGTGTTGAAAGAGTCGAGTCCACATCAGATTAAAAGGACTTCTAAAACGATGCATTGGAGAACAAAAATTAATCACGCCTTTATAAATTAGTGATGTGGCAAATTTTTGTGATGTCAAAAGAGTAGCATTAGAGATGCTCTAATGGTCTCCAAATTTAGAAGTCGAGAAGATATACTTAACTTGAAATTAATGATTAAAATATGCCTAAAATAATTATGATAGATAAAAAATGACATAATAAGTTTTAGTGATTCTGTGATTACTACGACCATGTCCAATTTGTATATATCATGATGATAACAAAATCAAAATATTTTAATCACATTTCTACCCATCAATTTTATTCTAATACTACGTAATACTTTTAAAAAATCCTCAATTAACTTTAGAAGAAGATTTATGCATGATTTTAGTGTACGTCCTATATTTTCACGAAATTAATCTTAAAATACCACTTATGGTGGGTACTCATTATTCTTTTAAGCACGGTACATTTTGTTACATGACCTAAGTAGCATTGGTGTTATTACTTAAAAGAGTTTTTTTTTTTAATTACTTGACTCAAATTATTATTCTTATCATTATTTCATTGCTAATTTAGTACTTTTATCATTATTCATTTTGTCTTTTATTATATTATTGTTGTTGTTATTAATAATATTATCTATGTCAATACATATACGTAGTACGTAGTATTTTTTAAAGAAATAGGCACCATAATAAGTCCGTTATTATATGTAAATTTTTCAATTGATAAAATTATTCAAATTTCGGAACAAAAAATTTACTTGACGGTCAAAATTCCACACATTGAATCCATTTTACATTACTTTTATATTTTATATTTGTGAGCATTGCACGGTGAATAATATTTCAGGTTGAAATATTTAGGTATAATAATTATTGATAGAGTATGATTCATCATTTGCAATGGAGCCAAAGATTCATTATTTTTTGACTTGAGAATATGATAGAATAAAACAAAATGGTTCACCAAACTGTCTGCTTTTCTTTGTTATGAAGCATGAGTCAGTTCATGCAATTTTGGACGCGATTTTCATTATGGGTCATCCGGAAACCGTTGATTAGTACAGGGTAAGACTACGTACATCCGACCTCCCCTTATCCCACCGTATGTGGAGCCTTTGCGGCATTAGGGTAAATGATGATTGAATTATTGATAGAGTATATGGGCGGGCGTAATACCTGTGGCATTACGCCAATCTCGAGCAGTAGAGGACCCAGAACGAAACCTCCGCCTGAACCCAATAAGCCGCCGACAGTTCCGCCCACGACGCCGCAAAGGGCACACAAAGCGAGGTTCATCGCTGTCCAGTCAATGGCGGCCTCGCATATCATTTCTTGGTTCCCTGAGAGTTTCCGGCTCTTGCTTTCTGTATAAAGTTTCACACATTCGCATCCAAATAATCCCAATGCAACCGGAAACTTTAAGCCCCAAAGAGAGAGATAGTGAATAATAAAATCAAGCCATTAATCTAGAATAGCATATTGAACAAAAAAGCTATCAAAGACCAATTGACCATATTTCAATTTTAAAATTGTACAACTAGTATGACATCGCATGTTGAAATGTTTTATTAAATTATACCTCTCACAATTAAATTCACAAATTAAGAAGTCTACATAGTAAAGGATTCAAAACAAGTTTGACGTTATGGCATGTATGGGTGAACAAATCATAACGATTCATTTTTAAAATGAATTATTGAAGAACCACGTTTTGAGGCCCTTCCCGGTGGAATTTTTGGATGAAATTTTTTGAGCATGTTCTTCATCAAGTCTAGTACATCCATACCAAATATCAGCAAAAAATTCAATCGGGAAGGAAATCAAATGATTTTTGGAAGATAACTGCACCCTTTATATACATATAATAAAAACGCAGTTATCTTCCAAAAATCGTTTGGCTGCCTTCCCGATTGAATTTTTTGCTGAAATTTGGTATGGATGTACTAGACTTGATGACGAACATGTTCAAAAAAATTCATCAAAAAATTCCACCGGAAATGGCCTCAAAACGTGGAGGCTGCACGGCGGCTCCGGTAAGGTATACCTTACCGGAAAGATTTCCTATGTTCATATGACTATAAGCATGTATAATCAGAGCATCTCCAATGGGATGTCTACTCTCTTCCACATTCTTACACACGGGTCCCATTTTTTATCTCACAAATTTTATGTGTAGGACCTACATATCTCCACATTTATTTTGTTTTTCATTTTTCTATATCACTTTTAACCCACTTTTCATCCACTTTTACTCCTCGATTCCCGTGTAAAGTCTATTTGTAGACATTGTCATACACATTGTCTACAATTTACTCCTATCACTCTCTTCCTTTTCATTTTTCATACACACCACTTTCTCCATATTAAATTAAAATAATCATTCTATCTCTATATCTCTCCTATGCCATGTAGGAATGTAGGATAGACTTTACTCCAATCCACTACCCCATTGGAGATGCTCTCATATACTCCGTATATATATAGGCCTTCATAAAAAATTTGATGAAAAGACTTGAGCATTCTTTTCTATGTCAAAAGTGAGGCAACTTTCACATTAATACATTATGATACTAGTATATCATTTCATTTCTTTGGAATTTTATATATCATTTCATTCAAAAAAGAAGTAATAATGTACTATAGGTTATAATAATGTAATATGTAATGGGTGTACCTGTAATAAGTTCAATACCCAATACAACTGACTGCATGCAACGACATCGTTCTGTACAATAAGACAAGTTCTCAATTCACGGTTTAAAAAACTGAAGTATTGTACGTAGTAATTGTTAATGATAATAATATGAGTAAGGTAGATCGATCCACTTATTTACCATAACTTTTGTGTGTGCACCTGCCGCCTATTAGTTTTGTAATTTTATTTGCAAATACTCCCTAATGTTTTGTAACTATGGTTTAATCGGAAATTGTATATTCTCGCGAAAAAGTTCTTCAAATCAAATATTTTTTACAATACTTGCTATGCGGTTAAATAAAATTATAAGATCATTAATGGATAAACGAATAAGTTGCGGGCTAAATCTTATGATTTTAATTATTGGTAATAATGATAGAAATAATTATGTACTTACGATTAAAATGAAGATGGTTACAAAATATGTATCTTATATATCGTGACAATTTAATTTGGTGATAATAATAACTTATGTCCAAATGTTCAATGTTTACATTTAACACAATATTATATTAACTTCAGTCATATTTTAAATAAGTTTTATATGAATGAGTTTTTGAGAGAGAGAAAACTTATTAACAATTCACCACAACAATCACAAGAAATAATTGAAGGCCTTAGCATATACAAGTACTTTGTATATACTACTTTTGTCCCTTTGGGAAAACTGTCAAATAGGTCCTCGAACTTTCATAAAAAAATCAATTAAGTCCTTCTATAGGAGACTTTGTCCGGTCGTCGCGATTTGGGGCGGTTCCCGGTGGAATTTTTTGATGAAATTTTTTGAGCATCTTATTCATCAAGCCTAGTTTACTCATACCAAATTTCAGCTAAAAATTTAATCGGGAGCGCATTCAAATTAATTCGAGAACGCAAAAATGCGCAGTTATCTTCAATAATTAATTTGAATGTGTTCCCGATTGAATTTTTAGCTGCAATTTGGTATGACTAAACTAGACTTGGTGAATAAGATGCTCAAAAAATTTCATCAAAAAATTCCACCGGGAACTGCTCCAAATCGCGATGGCCGGACAGAACCTCCTATAGAAGGACTTAATTGACCTTTTTATGAAAGTTCGAGGACCTATATGACAGTTTTCCCTTGTCCCTTTTTATTTAGCCAATTTTAATTTTGTCGGTCAAAGATGATAAACTTTGATCCTTTATTTATACTAATATATTTATGTGAAACTTAATTCGGAGTAATAAATTTATACTTTTATGATCGTATTTTTAACAAAGAACATTTTCATATCATTGTCATATTATCAATATTACCGTGTATGAATATAAAATCGGTCCAAATTTAATATCATTGACTTGAAAAATAGTGTTTGGGTGAATAAAAAGGGAGTTTAACATCATTGGTTTGGAAAATAGTGTTTGGATGAACATGACTGAGACATTTATTTTGAGGGGCAAAAAATGAGAGAGAGAAAAATACCTTGAAGACTTGGAGGAGCAGAAAGGAAATCCACACAAGAAATAGAACAAGCATTTTCTTCACATTCATGTTGTACATCATTAATTGCTGAAAGATTATTATGTAGTAAATGTGATCAACATCTGTAACGCACACAAACAGCTAGCTTTGATAACAAACATTTCATTCTTTAAATCTGAATAATCATAAAAATAAAAGCGGCTTACCAATCCTGTTCTCTCTTCCTTAGGGACCAGTGGCTCATATCCGGTATTAATTTCAACTGAGGCAAATTATATCAATATATAGACTTAAATTATCTATTATGCAAACAGGCCAAGAGAATATGTAAAATATATTTTAACATATTTTACATTCATAAAATGTCACTTTTGAATAGAACTTACGTTCCCCGTGTGAATTGACGATTGTTTGACGTTCAGCTTCCGAATTCTGCATTTTTTCAAAAAGTAGGATGTGTAAAAAGTGACAAGGCAAATTTTTTTAGAATTAACAATAGCAATTATACTTGTTGAACATTTGCAAGAACATTTTTTACATTTTTTCGTAGACCTATCAATCTTTTTTTATATTTTCAAGAAATTTGCACAATCGTATATTTGTTTAACCACTTTAACATTTGACAGATACGGAGTTCAGCATTATTTTTTTTCCTAGATAGGAATAAAATAATTAAGAAAAGGTATAAAAATAGAATCATCAATCTTTTCTTCTTAAAATGGGACTCATTCGTTCATTCCTAAATGATAATTAAGAAAAGGTATAAAAATAAAATCGTCATTCTTTTCTTCTTAAAATGGGACTCGTTCGTTCATTCATAAATGAAGAAGTTTTACTTGGTATAATTTATGTATACGCTTATTTGAACCAAATAATTCTTATATATGTTGGTAATAAAATATGGAGTGTAATTACTCTTATTTGTACACTTTGTATATATTTACTCTTATTTGGAGTAAATTCTTTTTAATGTTTTGATTCTTTTCCTCAATACTATCTAATTACTAATGTCAAGTAAAAACTAACCTTCAACTTAGTTTCTTCCTTCCACATTTCTATCCCTTTAAAAGCTGACCTTGAAGATGTGCCTGTTCATCCAAGGATAGGTTGCAAAAATCATATATGCAAATGTAGCTTGTCTTCATAATGCAGCTATTTCAGCAATACAATGTTTTTTTTTTTGAAAAACAGCAATACAATGTTAAGTAAGCTAAGTTTGCCATTACCATTATAAAGTGTTGAGCTATACATAATTACATATAAAGTCAAGAACTTCCCTTTATTTTATTTCATATTTATGTTTTCCAAATAAAGGTAAACATTTTGTTTCGTTTCACATTTTGTCAAATATAGAATTCCCTTCATTTTGATTGCATATATGCCTATTGATATTCTGGGTATCTTGAAACGGAAAAAAATCAATTTAATTTTAATTAAACCTAAAAGTAATAATGTCAAGGATCTTTAATTTGTAGAATAGTATATACTAGTTGGTACGCCTATTTAGAAGGAAACTTATTGTGTAACCGTCGAAGTGAAAGCATTAAAGAAAAAGAAAAAACTTAGACAAAAATATGACCTATACACTTCTCAATCCAAAGATGAAAATTTACCTAGCTCTTATTTTTCAAACGTCGGCTGCTGGAAAATTTTACTGGTTTTTTTGTTCATTTTTTTTACTTTTGAAACTTTGTTGAAAATGGTCAACTAAAAAGCTTGATGGCAGTCAAAAGTGACAGAATAGACTTTTCATACTAACTTTGTCTCACTCAATTATGTGAGGTTGATGTTAGTCGTTGAATTAGAATAATAAAAATTGTGTAATTGAGGTTTGTGAAGAGGAAAAAGAAATTTCATAAATTCATTGCTTTAAAATAAAAATGACAGTTCTTTAAATCAAAAGAAAAAGAAAAGTTAGACAAAATCCGATCGGACGAAGGGAGTAACATATTGACATTGATTGCTTTTGAGTTTTTATCTGATTTTTATACATATGTAAATGGTAAAAGTAGTCAATTTTTGGAAATTGAATTTCATTTCCGAAAAACCCCCCAATACAGAAGAAATAGAGTAATGAAAATAGAAATGAATTGTGTCTGACAAGATAAATTAAATTCAAATACGGAGTAATGTACTATTTAAATAAAACCTGATAAAAACAAATAGGGTATGTTTGGTACAAGGAATGTCAGATTACCATGGGAATGTCAGATTGTTGGGTATGTTAGATTGATGGGAATGTATTCAATTTATTCCCACTTGTGTTTGGTTAACATCAAGGGAATGTCAGATTGCTGAGTACGTAAAATTGATGAATTACTTTTATGCCCTTTAAATATTAAATATTTTCTCTTAACGCAATAAATCTATTACAACATACATCTAAAGTGATTAAAATTAAAGAAAAAATGAATATTTAATCTTAATATTAAATAAAATCAAACCTAATTGAATTATTTTTAAGTAAAATATGTTTAATTGTAAAAAGTTGTAGATCCAATACAGAAATGAAAAAAAAACTTTGTTCAAATAGTAATATAAATATATTTATTATCATCTAAAAAAATTAATATTTAAAAATGATCAAGTTAATCGTAAAAGTTGGTTTAAAAATAAAGAAAAAAATGACCAACTTTGCTATTAAATTTTGAAATCCACTCATCAAAACTTAAATAATCTATAACTCTTATAAATACCTTAAAAAATTTAAATGATAAGGAAAAAAAATATGCAAATAAAGAGAATAGACATTCGAATATAATCAATACTCCGTCCGTCCCACCTAAAAGATTGTTACACAATTTACGATGTTCGACAGATCATGAAATTAAACTAACCGATCTCTGTCAATAATAAGATTATTTTTAGTAAATAAAATTTACACATTTAGAGACTACATTAAAAGTTTTATAAAGTCACAAAAAATCAAATTTGATAACAATTGAATATATAAAGAAATTAAATGAAAAGAGATCATTAATTGAGAGTATTTTCGGAAGAAAATTAGATCACCCCAGGAATGTGAGATAACCTAAGGCATGGACGGGATTAAGATTCTCATCCATATTACATTCCCGGGAATGTAACTTTCCCAATTTTTTTTCAAACCCGTGAACCAAACAAGGGTATCTAACATTCCGTGCATCACATTCCGGCCTTCATGTGAGATCACCCCAACCAAACGGACCCATAGAGTAATAAAAAATCACACACAAAAACTATAAACAAAAGAATTGTGTCAAATAAGAAAAATTAAAGCAAGGGCAGCGACATAGTAAGGGGTACATGCAATGAATGTGTGGTACCTATGAAGAGAATGATGGTGAGGACGGTAATGAGCCAATAGGGGAAGACGACACTGAGAGCCACACCAATTGTGATGCCCAACATTAGCATTGGTTGGAATAGAAAAGCCAAATCATAGTCTATTATTGGCACTGCCCTGCACGGATGTGGCACTCGCAGGTTGTACCATACCGATGATGCCGATGCTCCCATTATCATACCTAGAATCAATCCAGTTTTCTCGCACTTAAAATATCGATATTGTCGACATACTCGTTCAAATAAATTTTCTCACACTTACAAGAGCATATTGAATATAACGCTGATACGCTCTTATCAATATACTTTGTATAAGTTTTTTCACGCTTAAAAAGTGTGTGGAAGTGCATATTTATTTCAATGTCAAAATACACATTCAAAATGATAAAATATACTAGTACGTAGTATGTTGCACGGGAAACGCTAACTTTTGCACAAAAAACGCTTGTTTAGAGAGTTTTCGAAGAGTTTCCGCAGAATTTCTCTGCTACATAAAATAAAATTCTTTCAACAACTACGTACATTTGGAAAGGGCGGCTGCGGACTTGGTATCGAATCCAACAATCAAAGTGAGCATTGGGACAAAGATGCCGCCGCCTCCAACGCCGCCCACGGTGCCGCATGCCGACCCCAAGAACCCTATCACGGTGGCCAACACCGTCCTCCAGCAAAACCTTAGCTCCTACAATATCAAATTCCAGAAACCTGATCAAGCCAAACAGACTAAGAAGCTAAAAGGCCGGTAATTAAATAAAAACAAAAAACAGCCTTTTTTTCATCTTCCATTTTTTATCATTAAGAAACAGAATAGCGGCGGTTGGGAGTACGTTCATTCCGTAATCCGTAGGGCGTCGAGATTATTGAATCCCGAGGATTGTAATTCGAGACGTTCTCCCAAACGCGCCCTTACGTGACGTACCGGCCAAACTGTGGCTTCGGATCGAAGAGGGGATTCGGAGGCAAGTTTAATGTAGGAGGAAAGAGGCGCCGTGGGTGATTCGTAACCGCCGCCAGAGGCGTGGTGGTTGTGGAGGTAGAAAGCGGAAAGAACCGCCGCGGAGGCGGCGGCGAGAAGGTAAGCCAAAAATCCGATTGTAGGACGCATGGCCACCCAAATTAAAGGGGTAAACTTTGGTCACGCCAATTCAAGAAACAACCACGGCCACAATAATATCTCAGCAATTTCTCCGCCGCGCCGGATTAATATGTGTCTTTGTAGCCTCTTATTAGGTTCCTGTAATTATATAGATGACCTTCGGCGGATCCAAACACTTTAATACGATACTACGTAGTATCATCATTAAAAAAAACTCTACATTTCATACAAAGATTCACATTTACATTTTACTCCGTATGAAACAATATAGAATGTTTTTATTTGGATAGCAATTTGAACTTCTTGTTTGATTTGGTCTGGTTTTTTTGTATTTTTATAATTATCCAACTCTGGTCTGGTCTGATCTGGTCTAGAACATATTAAAGTCCAAGCAAAAACATTCTTACAATCTTATAAAATGACGAATCAAATCATTAACTTCATTGCTTTATATGTCTATATTAAAAATTATTTCTCAAGATATATTTGAACTATATACCTTATTTAATCTTTATCTAAAAATCGTGTTGTTTTGTAATGAGACCTTTTCAATGGGACGGAAGTAGGATTTGATTTTGCACCGTATTCTTAAAAGAGAAAATTATCAGAGATATTACTAAAACACAACATCTTTCTCAAACTATGAGTATGTCAATTTTTTTTCAAACTACCATCCGTGTGGTTATGAGAAGAGGTTAATTAAATCATATTGTCATGTATGTGAGGTCTTGGTCACAGCGTAGGGTCTTGGGCCCTTGTGCAAGTGATTTAGGGTATATGACAATATATACCATTAAAAATGCAAAGTTCAATATTGCATAAATATTGGGGTTCAAATAAAGTCAAATCCCCCCTTAGAGACAGGGGCGGAGCCAAGGGGGGGTCAAGGGGGTCAGTCGACCCCGCTGAAAGTTTGAGAGCATAGAGCTCTGAAATATCTTCGATTTGATATATTATGGCCCCTGTAACTCATTACGAGTAAAAAGTTATGACTTCTGCAAAATCAGCACTATCTAAACGTAAAATCAGCAAAATTTGATGAGTAATATTGATTTTTCCCCCAAATTTTAAAATAGCGTATAATTAACTCATTACTTACATGACATGACTCAAAAATAGAGCAAAAACAGTCTATTTTATTGTTACGAGTGTCTATTTATCTAAAATACATATAAAATATTCAACTCGGACATTGTTTGGAAACGATCCACCGTTTTCATTTTGTATAAAGTTGATTCTCGACCTCCCTGGACCGTATTTCTGGCTCCGCCACTGCTTAGAGCAATTGCTCTCTATATGTTTTTCATTTTTTGAAAACCTTACATCACAACTTCCTCTATAATATAATTAACCAACCAATCACATCCACTTCTATATAACAAATAAAAATAAAAATATCCTCATTTATACCTAAGCATGTCAACGGGTCTAGAATTAAGGTTCCGGACTCACACCCATCGGGTATCAAAATCACAAGAATCCTACTCCAGTTTTTTAAATAAAAAACATGGACATTTTACTACAAGCACTGTAATTACTCAACCTAAATAAACAACGAAAACATGATAATTCCAAATCTTCACATTAATATCGAACACAAGGTGCATTGGGCCATTAGGGAAATAAACATAATTCTACAAAATCATTAAAGTTTTATCCAAATAGCCTCTTTGAATTTATGACAATAATAATAATAATAATAATAATAATAATAATAATAATAATAATAATAATAATAATAATAATAATAATAATAATAATAATAATAATAATAATAATAATAATAATAATAATAATAATAATAATAATAATAATAATAATAATAATAATAATAATAATAATAATAATAATAATAATAATAATAATAATAATAATAATAATAATAATAATAATAATAATAATAATAATAATAATAATAATAATAATAATAATAATAATAATAACAATAATAACAATAATAATAACAATAATAATAACAATAATAATAACAATAATAATAACAATAATAATAACAATAATAATAACAATAATAATAACAATAATAATAACAATAATAATAACAATAATAATAACAATAATAACAACAATAATAACAACAATAATAACAACAATAATAACAACAATAATAACAACAATAATAACAACAATAATAACAACAATAATAACAACAATAATAACAACAATAATAACAACAATAATAACAACAATAATAACAACAATAATAACAACAACAATAACAACAACAATAACAACAATAATAACAACAATAATAACAACAATAATAACAACAATAATAACAACAATAATAACAACAATAATAACAACAATAATAACAACAATAATAACAACAATAATAACAACAATAATAACAACAATAATAACAATAATAATAATAACAATAATAACAATAACAATAATAACAATAATAATAATAATAATAATAATAATAATAATAATAATAATAATAATAATAATAATAATAATAATAATAATAATAATAATAATAATAATAATAATAATAATAATAATAATAATAATAATAATAATAATAATAATAATAATAATAATAATAATAATAATAATAATAATAATAATAATAATAATAATAATAATAATAATAATAATAATAATAATAATAATACGGAGTAATAATAATAATAATAATAATAATAATAATAATAATAATAATAATAATAATAATAATAATAATAATAATAATAATAATAATAATAATAATAATAATAATAATAATAATAATAATAATAATAATAATAATAATAATAATAATAATAATAATAATAATAATAATAATAATAATAATAATAATAATAATAATAATAATAATAATAATAATAATAATAATAATAATAATAATAATAATAATAATAATAATAATAATAATAATAATAATAATAATAATAATAATAATAATAATAATAATAATAATAATAATAATAATAATAATAATAATAATAATAATAATAATAATAATAATAATAATAATAATAATAATAATAATAATAATAATAATAATAATAATAATAATAATAATAATAATAATAATAATAATAATAATAATAATAATAATAATAATAATAATAATAATAATAATAATAATAATAATAATAATAATAATAATAATAATAATAATAATAATAATAATAATAATAATAATAATAATAATAATAATAATAATAATAATAATAATAATAATAATAATAATAATAATAATAATAATAATAATAATAATAATAATAATAATAATAATAATAATAATAATAATAATAATAATAATAATAATAATAATAATAATAATAATAATAATAATAATAATAATAATAATAATAATAATAATAATAATAATAATAATAATAATAATAATAATAATAATAATAATAATAATAATAATAATAATAATAATAATAATAATAATAATAATAATAATAATAATAATAATAATAATAATAATAATAATAATAATAATAATAATAATAATAATAATAATAATAATAATAATAATAATAATAATAATAATAATAATAATAATAATAATAATAATAATAATAATAATAATAATAATAATAATAATAATAATAATAATAATAATAATAATAATAATAATAATAATAATAATAATAATAATAATAATAATAATAATAATAATAATAATAATAATAATAATAATAATAATAATAATAATAATAATAATAATAATAATAATAATAATAATAATAATAATAATAATAATAATAATAATAATAATAATAATAATAATAATAATAATAATAATAATAATAATAATAATAATAATAATAATAATAATAATAATAATAATAATAATAATAATAATAATAATAATAATAATAATAATAATAATAATAATAATAATAATAATAATAATAATAATAATAATAATAATAATAATAATAATAATAATAATAATAATAATAATAATAATAATAATAATAATAAAACAAAATCTAAAATAAGTTCCATCTGACTTTTACAAAAGAATAATTCCAAAGGAGTTTGATAAGTTGATTTCACTTTGAAACTGGCACATCCATATTTATGCTTTACTTTCTGAAAAAAAAAATTCTAGACTATTCAAACACAGAAGCAACTCTTCCTCCACAACTCCCTGCTAAAACAAAAGTACAAAAAAAATATAAGATAACAAAACCAAAACAAGGTCTATCTTGAAGCCAAGTGTACAAAAACACAATTCAAAAGAGCTTCATATATCTTTAAAACTAGAACCAGTAGAACATATGCATTTGTCTTGCACTACAACTCCCTACAATTGTCACTCTTCGAGCCTTCTTGCATTACAACTCCCTGCAAAAATAAAACCGAAAATTGAAAAAAGAAAGATAGAATAGTTAACAATCGTTGTATTATTTCATTAGCTCAAACCCCCTTTTTAATATTCATTTGTAATCGAATTTAGAATGATCTTACACCTGTCAATTATGATAATCTGACGGATTTGGATGCCTTTTCCAATTGTTGTTGTTCATCCTCATAATCTAGAATATCATATAAATTAAATTAGTTGTCAAACTTATAGTTTATAAGAGAAAAACTATTATATAATTAAGATAAGGATGATCTTACTTCTTTTATTTAGCGATGGAAACCAATCACCCGTTGTTATCAAAGATTCCACTACATCTGGAAGCAAAGAAGACTGGCTCTCATCAAACACCCTTCCACCAACACTGAATGGATATTCTGATGCCATTGTAGTTGCTGGAATTGCGAGAATATCACGAGCAATCTTACTCAGGACTGGAAACTTTGGACTATTTGCCTTCCACCAAGCTAATATATCAAACTTTTCCTTTCTTGGAAATACAAGCTCATCCAAATAGGACTGCAATTCAGACTTCCGTTGCACAAATCCAGATGAAGAAGATTTCTGGTACCATTTGTCAAATGATGACATATCATCTCCATCTTCCATACATGCATCTCTGTTAGTCGAGTCTCCCTTACCAATATCATACTCAAATGAATTTACGGAGTGAGAAATTTCACCCCTATATTCAACAAACAGATCAGTCGTGGTATTACGAACTTTATCCAAGTATCTTGTTCCTTTTTCTTTATGAATATAATTATTGCAATACTCCACAAAATCCAACTTATGCCGTGGATCAAGGACTACCGCAATAGCTAA